ATAGTAGTAGGAGTAGTAGTAGTAAGCGTAGTAGTAGTAGCCGTAGTAGTAGTAGTAGTCGAGTAGTAGTCGCAGTAGTAGTAGTAGTAGTAGTAGTAGTAGTAGTAGTAGTAGTAGTGGTAGTAGTAGTAGTAGTAATAGTAGTCGTAAAAGTAGTAGTAGAAGAAGTAGTAGTAGTACTAGTAGTGATAGTAGGAATAGTGGTAGTAGTAGTAGTAGTAGTGGTCGTCGTAGTAGTAACAGTCATAGTAGTAGTAGTAACAGTAGTAGTAGTAAAAATAGTAAAAGTAGCAGTCGTAGTAGTAGTAGTAGTAGTAGTAGTAGTAGTAGTGATAGTAGTAGTAGTAGTAGTAGTAGAAGTAGTACTAGTAGTAGTAGTAGTAGTAGTAGTAGTAGTAGTAGTAGTGGTAGTAGTAGTAGTAGTAGTAGTCGTAGTAATAGTTTGCGTGGTAGAAGTAGTCGTAGTAGTAGTAGTAGTAGCAGTAGTAGTAGTAGTAGTAGTAGCAGTAGTAGTAGTAGTAGTAGTAGTAGGAGTAATAGTAGTGGTAGTAGTAGTAGTAGTAGTAGTAGAAGTAGTAGCAGCAGTAGTAGTAGTAGGAATGATACCGGAGAAAAACCCCAATCAGGGCTGTAGGGCTAGGGCACTATAATGCTATAGAGCTGTAGGGCTTTAGGGCTATTGGGCGATGGGGCCATAACGCTATAAGGCTTAGGGCTATAGGGCATCCCCGGGCACGCCCAGGCACCCGGGCACCCCCGGGCACCCCCGGGGGAAACGGCCCCCGGGCACCCCCAGGCACCCCGGCACCCGGGCGTGCGGCGAAAATCGGCGGCAAACCTAACCTAACCATATGCATCCGCTAGGACCCCTGCAGAGGCAAACTCTGATTAGGGAATAGCAGTAGTAGCAGCCGTAGTTGTGGTCGTAGTAGTAGTAGTAGCAGTAGTAGTAGTAGTCGTCGTCGTAGTAGTAGTCGTAGTAGCAGCAGCAGCAGCAGCAGCAGTAGTACTAGTAGTAGTAGTAGTAGTAGTAGTAGTAGTAGTAGTAGTAGTAGTAGTAGTGGTAGAAGCAGAAGTAGTATCAGTATCATTAGCAGTGGTAGCAGTGGTTGTAGTAGCCGTAGTAGTAGTAGTAGTAATAGTAGTAGTAGTAGAAATAGTGATAGTAGTAGTAGTAGTAGTAGTAGTAGTAGTAGTAGAAGTAGTAGTAGTAGTAGTAGTAGTAGTAGTACTAGTAGTAGTTGTAGTAGTAGTAGTAGTTGTTGTTGTTAATGTAGTAGGGGTGTAGTAGTAGTAGACGTAGGAGTGCTCGTACTAGTAGTAGTAGTAATCGTAGTACTAGTAGTAGTAGTAGTAGTAGTAGTAGTAGTAGTAGTAGTAGTAGTAGTACTAGTAGTAGTAGTAGTAGTGGTAGTAGTAGTAGTAGTAGGAGTAGTACTAGTAGTGGTAGTAGTAGTGGTAATAGGAGTGGTGGCATTAAAAATCATTAAAAACATACAAGTAATAATATGATCGTACTAGTAGTCCTTGTTGTAGTGGTGGCTGTGGTGATGTCAGTAGTGGTAGTTGAAGTGGTAGTAGTAGTAGTGTAGTAGTAGTAGGAGTAGTCGTAGTAGTAGTCGCAGAAGTACTAGCAGAAGCAATCATAGTAGTAGTAGTAGTAGTAGTAGTAGTAGTAGTGGCAGGAAGTAGTAGTAGTAGTAGTAGTAGTAGCAATAGTAGTAGCAGTCGTAGTAGTAGTAGCCATAGGAGTGTCAGAAGTCGTCGTAGTAGCAGCAGACTGGTAGTAGTAGAAATAGTAGTTGTAGTAGTAATAGTAGTAGTAGTAGTAATCGTAGCCGTCGAAATTTCATGTAAGTAGTAATAATAGTAAAGGTGGTCGCAGTAGCAGCAGTGGTCGTAGTCGTAGTAGAAACAAAAGTAGTAGTAGCAGTAATAGTAGTAGCCGTCGGGGTAGTAACAGTAGTAGTAGCCGTCGGATTAGTCGTACTAGTCGCACTAGTAACCGTCGGAGTAGTAACAATAGTTGTAGCAGTAGTAGTAGTAGTAGCAGTAGAAGTAGCAGTGTAGCGTTAGAAATAGCAGTAATAGTCGTAGTAATAGCAGAAGTATAAGAAGAAGCGATACTACAAATAGAACTAGAAGTAGTAGCAGTGCTAGAGATAGCCTTAGTAGTTGTAGTAGTGATAGAACTAGAAGCAATAATAGAAGTAGTAGTAGCAGTAGCCATCGCAAAAGAAGTCGTAGTGGTCGTAGTAACAATAGTAGTAGTAGTAGTACTACTACTAAACTTAAGAGTTGTATTAACAATAGAAGCAGTAGTAGCACTAGTTCATGTAGTAGTCCGACTAGAAGTAGTAGAAGTAGCAGTAGACATAAATAGTAGTAGTAGCCGTCGTCGCCGTAGTAGCAGCAACAGTGCGAGTAGCAATAGTGGTACTAGTAGTAATAGTAGTAGTAGTAGTAGTAGTAATAGTAGTAGTAGTAGTAGTAGTAGTCGGAATCGTCGCAGTAAGGGTATTCGTAGTAGTAGTAGTAGTAGTAGTAGTAGTAGTAGTAGTGGTAGTAGTAGTAGCAGTAGTAGTAGCGATGGTAGCAGTAGTGCTAGACGTAGTGGAAGCCGCAGTCGTGGTAGCAAAAGTGGTAGTTACAAAGAGATTAATGAACATATCCTAGTCGTAGGAATATTCGGAATAAGTGTAGTCGCAAAAGCAGTAGTAGCAATCGTAGTAGTAGTAGTAGTCGTATTAATAGCCATAAAAATATTAGTTGTCGAAGTGTAGTAGTAGTAGTAGTAGTAGTACACTAGTCGTGGGAACCGTTGGTGCAGTAAGATTATGAGTAGTAGTAGTAATAGTAGTAACAGTAGTGTAGCAACATCCGAAGTAGCAGTAGTAGTAATAGTAGTACTAGCAATCTGAATGGTAGTAGCCGTAGTCGTAGTAGTAGTCGTATTAATAAGTTTCGTAGTATTATTATTAGTTTTATTATCATTATTAGTAGTAGTTGTAGTAGTAGTAGTAGTGGTAGTGGCAGTAGTCGTAGTAGTAATACTCGCAGTAGTAGTCGTAGTCGTAGTCGTAGTAGTAGTAGTAGTAGTAGTAGTAGTAATGAGAGCATGGGTAGTAGTAGTAGTAGTAGTAGTAGTAGTAGTAGTAGTAGTAGTAGTAGTTGAAGGAGTAGATACTACTCGTAATAGTAAAAGTAGTAATATTAGTAGTGGTTTTGAAAGTAGTGGCAATAGTAGTAGTAGAAGTAGTAGTAGTAGTAATAATAGTAGTAGTTGTAGTCGTAGTAGTTGTAGTAGCAGAAGTAGTAGTAGTAGTAGTAGTAGTAGTAGTAGTACTACTAGTAGTAGAAGTAGTAGTAGTAGTAGTAGTAGTACTACTAGTAGTAGTCGTATTAGTACTAGTCGTCGTCGGTTTCGTAGTCACGCTAATCGAACTAGTGTAATAGCAGTAATCGTAGTAGTGATAGTCATCGAAATAGTAGTGAAAGTAATAGTAGCAGTAGCAGCAATATTCGTAGCAGTAGTAGTAGTAGCAGCAGTAGTAGTAGTAGTAGTAGCAGTAGTTGTAGTAATAGTGGCAGTAGTCGTAGTATCCGTAGTGATCGCGATAGTAGCAGTAGTCGTAGTAGTAGTAGTCGTAGTAGTAGTAGTAGTAGTAGTAGTAATAATAATAACAGTCGTGATAGTAGGTGGTTGTGGTAGTGGTAGTGGTAGTCGTAGTAGCATGCATAGTTGTAGTGGTTGTAGTAGTCGTCGTCGTCGTCGTCGTCGTGGTAGTGGTAATCATGGTGGTGGTGGTGGTGGCCGTCATGCAGGGACGACGGCAACCGCGACGTCGACGGTGACGGCGGCGACGACGACGACGGCGGCGGAATCATTATTTGCCGAACATTGTTGGGTGTTGGCAACCCACAATTGGCTCCTGGAATCAATCTGCCGATGCGTCGGCGTGTGTGAGACGCTTTTCAATCAGAGTCGTCATCGTCGTCCCCGTCGCCGTCGCCGTCGCCGTCGTCGTGGTCGTCGTCGCGGTCGTCGCGAATTCCACGGCAACTGAGAAACAAGAACAAGGAACGTCGTACTCAGGCTGATTTTTTAGAACTGTTTTCCCCTGATGGGGGGGGAAGGGAGGGGAGGGGGGGAGGGAGGGGGAGGGGAGGGGAGGGGAGGGGAGGGGGGAGGGGAGAGGGGATGGGGAGAGAGGGGAGGGGGGAGGGGAGGGGAGGGGGAGGGGGTCCCGGGCCAGAATGCCGCCGAATCCCCTGGGGCCCCGGCGGGTCCCGAGGGGCGTCGCCAGCGAAGGTCCCGAGGGAGCTATCCCTGCCAGGGTCGGCGGCACAGGCCGTAAGGCCTTCGCAGTGGCAACCGTTTGCAAACTGCTGGAGGGGGTGCTGAAGACCTGTGGAGGTTCGCGTGGCGCGCCGAGGCGTGGTGGGCCATATCCGGAGCCGCGACACGGTCCAGTCGGGCCTGGGACAAAAAGAGCAGCTTTCAGGAACACGAGATCCTCCGCCGCCCAAACCGAAGAATCTTCGAGGGTGCCCTCCCGCAGGATGCACAAGAGAACAGCACGGCACCCTCCCCGAACCGGCCTCAATCTTGTACCTCGGTCCGTCCGCATGGAGGAGAAGGAGGAGGTGAGGAGGAGGAGGAGGAGAAGGAGAAGGAGGAGGGGGAGGAGGGGGAGGAGGGCGATGACCAGTGGGAGGGGATGACGCGGGGAGCTTATACCCCAGTCCGACCGCTCCAGAAAGTTCCCGACCGCATCGCCAGGGGATAAACAAAAACGGTCGGCTGCACGCAAAAGAGATCCCAGGCAAGAGTGCCCTGTAGTGCGCGGGCTAGGAGGGGCGCATGGTGGCCAAATCCAAGCGCGCAGGCAGCCACTACCGCTTCGCGCTCAGCGATCGGGTGGGCCCCGGTGAGCACGCAGCACGCACCCAAAGTCACTTTGGCGATCGAAACGGTCTCAAAGAGGCGGGGCCGCCACCACGCGCAGCCGCCGGGCAGCGGCGGACTCCGCGCTCCGGGCCGCCCTGGGCGCCCGCGGCCCCTCGGCGCCGCCGCCGCGGGGGGGCCTCGAGGGCTGCGCCGGGTCCGAGCCGTCGGCGCCAAGGGTGGGCCTGCGGCGCGCGCTGTCCCAACGCAAGGCGGACCCAGACAGGCTCGCGTCGTAAGGGAGTAGGAGGAGGAGGAGGAGGAGAAGGAGGAGGAGGAGGAGGAGGAGGAGGAGGAGGAGGTGGAGCGGGGGGAGGGACAAGGAGGAGAAGGGGGAGGAGGAGAAGGGAGGGAGGGAGGGAGGGGGGGGAGGAGGAGGAGGAGGAGTATGAAGGGGAGGGGGGTGGAAAAGAAGAAAGAGGGGGGAGGAGGAGAAGGAGGAGGAGGAGGAGGAGGAGCAGGAGGAGGAGATAAACGCTCCGAGCATCGTGCTTAGGGTCTGGCCAACATCAAAGAGGAGGAGGAGGAGGAGGAAGAGGAGGAGGAGAGGAGGAGAGGAGGAGAGGGAGGAGGAGGAGGACGAGGAGGATAAGGAGAGGAGGAGGAGGAGGAGGAGGAGGAGGAGGAGGGGGAGGGGGGAGGGGGAGGGGGAGGAGGAACCAGACATGCTCACTTCGTGCGAAAATCAAGACGCGAAAAAACAGGACGTGTCATTACATGCCCGGGAAGCCGGGACAGGGACAACATCGCATCGGGAAAGCCCCCCCTACCCCCTCCTCGGGACAAGACTGGAGTTGGTCGACATACCTGGTGTGCCATAGAGGGCATTACGAAGATCGGGCGCACGCTGACCTGGATTAGGGGACCGTGGATCTGGCGCGTGTGCGCTAAATCCATGGATGCGGGAGGGTACCCCCGACAATCGAGGCAAAGTGCCGCCTCCCTCGGCGACGGTGCGCGCCAACTTCGTGTGGAAACGGGACTGGTTGCTAATCCACGCGCCTCAATCCATGTTAGAATTAGGTCGGGCACGTCCTCCTACAGGCGGATCTTGGAAGACAACTGAAACATAGACCAAACATGATCAAACATAATCGGACATAATCAAAAATCGTCCCCATATGATTTGCTTGGCAATGTTTGAACATTCCTCCTGTACATGGACATGCCCCACTAAATGCTGGCGCCATCTCGAGAGGAGACGCCTCCACCACCACGAGCTGTGGGCAAGCTGAGGAGCTGCCCAGCACACTTCCATGAGACCGCACATCCTCGCGCGCGCTGCATGCGGGAGGAGGAGGAGAAGGAGGAGGAGGAGGAGAAGGAAGAGGAGGAGGAGGAGGAGGAGGAGGAGGAGGAGGAGGAGGGCTGGGGGAGGACAGCCCTCGCATGCCATTCACATACATGGCACGGAAGCTCTACGAGTTCCCGGCGGTAGCCGAGGTTGCCGCTTTACCGCCGGCTCCCGGTTGGCGCCACCTCGAGAGGAGGCGCCTCCGCCACCACCCGCCGAGCAGGGAGCTCTGCGCGCCAGCGGTTCTCCGGAGGCTTCGCGGGGGCGCCGCCGCCGTTCTCCGGAGCGCGAGCCCTCGGGGTCCAGAGCCTGGGCCTGCCGGGCGGCTTCGGCGGCCGCCGCGCCAGGCGAGCGGAGGGGGCCGGGCCCCGTCGGGGTGCAAATCTCTAGGTGAGGCTCCCGATCCTCCTCCCCCTCCCTCCTCCTCCTGCTCCTCCTCCCTCCCTCCCTCCCTCCCTCCCTCCCTCCCTCCTTCCTCCCTCCTCCTCCTCCTCCTCCTCCTCCTCCTCCTCCTCCCTCTCCCCCTCCTCTCCCTCCTCCTCCTCCTCCCCTCCTCCCCCCTCCTCCTCCTCCTTCCTCCCTCCTCCTCCTCTCCTCCTCCTCCTCCTCCTCCTCCGTCCTCCCTCCCCACGCGCGCGCCTGCGCCAGCTCTCTCTACTGAACCAGCGTCGCGCGGAATGGCGTGTGGGGGGGGAGGCCAGACCAGGGGAACAGTTACACGGGTGGAGGACGGCCCCTTTTCGCCTGAGACTTCGTCGGGTTTTTCTTGGTCAGCGACGGAAGCTAAACCTGTATGCCGGCCATGCGCCGGGCTGTCGCTGGGCACCTCTTCTATATCCATGTCCCCTCACTGGCGCGCTCCTCTCGCCTGACCTTCGTGCCCACGGGGCCCCGTCTTTGAAGGGGACGCCTCGAGCAACGAGCCAACATGCATGCAAGGACTTGTGGGGAGAGAGGCGTCCTCCTCCTCCTTCTTCCCCTCCTCTATCCTCACCATTCATCTCTCCTCCTTTCTCCTCGCTCCTTATTGCTCGTCAATGTTCCTTCTCCCTCGGTTTCCTATGCTTTCTTCTCCTCCTCCTCCTCCTCCTCTTCCTCCTCCTCCTCCTCCTCCTCCTCCTCCTCCTCTCTCCTTCTCTTCCCGCTTGCCTCCTGAGCAATCGTCATTGCACTTGTGGTGATTGCACCTGCCGTGATTCGCGGCGCCGTCAAATTTGTTTCTCCCCCCCCCCCTACCCTTCCCCGCTCTCCAATTCCCTCTCCTCTCCCGCGAAAGGCCTACGGGGGGAGGAGAGGGGGGGCACGGGACAAACTACTGGACACGTGTACGTATCCCAGCCAATCTTCAGAATTCCCGACCACTGTTGGGGGCCAATCACAACCAGGTACGAGATCCTGAATCTGAATGGCCCCATAGGGCCTCATTGGGAGCTCCTTGAACGCTCTCCAAAAAATCATCAAAAGACCCGTAAGAGATCCCCACGAGATCCTTAATACATCCTTATGATATCCAGCACAACTCCATCACATATCGATGAGAGCTCCACCGTACCGTAAGAGACCCTAGAGATCCCTAAGAGGCCCTTCTTTGGTATGTCGGCCACAAGGCTTCCTCAAAGGATCCTGGCTAAATCTTTATGCGATTCATACGGTCATAAGAGCTCCGTGCAGCAGCCGTATCAACTGTACGATTATGAACTATTTCAACTAACACCGAAATATAATGCAAGCATGCTTCGGGGATCCCTTCGACATCCTTCAGGGATCCTTCAGAGATCCGTCAGATGCCCCTGCAAGATCCTCAAGAGGCGTCCGAGAAGTTGTTCGAGAGGCGTCAGAGGAGGCTTCCGGGAAGCCTCCGAGGAGGCTCTCGAGGGGCATAGACTGTCCAGAAGCCTCCGAGGGCATTTCGGGAGAGGTCTGTGGAGCATCGGTAGCGGTACATGCGCGGACCCCCCTGCGGTATTAGTTATTGGGCCTTGGCGCATACGGCCCTGTTGTGAGGTTATTGGGCCGTTGGCGACTGGTGCGCAGATGCCTTTTCGGGCTTGTAGCCTAACGCCCCACAGCGGGACAAGCGTGAAAACACGTGGGTCCCTAACGCCCCAGGGCGGGACAAGTGTGAAAACATATGAGTTCCTAACCCCCAGCAGCGGGATAAGGCTTCCAGGAGGCATTCCCAGGGCACCAGGACGGAACGTGTCAAGTTATTACACAGATCTGTTGCCGACTGGCTGACTTTTTTTTGCTTTTGTGCCCCCCTCCCCGCTTTTCGGGGCTGAGCTTGGTACTTATGGGTCGCGACTGGCCCACCATACAGTAAGGGGGGGGGCAACGGAGCCTGGCGGGAGACCCAGGGGTCTGTAGACGATTGCCGTGCTCGTTCCTCCTTTTCCTCCTCCTCCTCCTCCTCCTCCTCCTCCACCTCCTCCTCCTCCTCCTCCTCCCTCCTCCTCCGCCCCCCTCCTCCGCCCCCCTCCTCTGCCCTCCCCCTCCTCCGCCCTCCTCCCCCGCCCTCCTCCTCCGCCCTCGCACCTCTAGGCCTGCAGTGCTCTTATCCGGCGCCTGTTGCATGCCTCAGATCGTCATCTTCCCTGGCCTTGCCCATTACACCAAACGCGTACCCCTCGTTGCTAGCAACATCTGCGAGACTTCTGCGTTACGTTGCGGGCTCAGCCACAAGCCGTCGCAGAGCAAATACTCTGAAACAATATGGAATGGGCAATGTAGTTACCGGGTGGAGATCGACATGACACACAGGGGCAAACATCCTATCATGACAAAGACTTGTCACACGGCTGATTGGCTAACCATTAAGCCGATCCGAATCATTTTACCCTCTGACTGGTTCCTCCCGAATTCTCATAATGACTCCTGGACGAAATCAAATCGCCGAGCGCAATTGTTCCAGTCGCCCAGTGCACGTGGTCGATGCGGGCACAAGGAGAAGCACGCTATCATGAGCACCGCAGCTACGCTTGCCACTTCGCACTCGCCACCCCCCTCCCATCCCATGACCTTCATCAATTGGTCACTCTGCCGAACGGCGGGGCTGGCCTTGATACACAGTGCGCCTCGTCAACTACCACCTGAGCCTGGCTGGGCCACGGCCGCGCGCACGACGCTGCTTGCAAAGCAACGACCGCCTGACGACCAGATGCCCTGCACTGCGGCAGAAGCACTGCGGAACCATCAGGGGGCGTATGGCCAAGTTGCAGGGGCGCCCTCTCGGCCTATTGTGCCTGCGTCGGGCCAGAAAGGAAAATGCGAGCATGATGAGGAGACGGAGGCGGAGGCGGAACACGATGCGGAAAGGAGGAGCAGCCGTCGAACACGGCCCGCGAGGAGTGCCTTTCGGAGCGCTCGTATGGTCCTGGCTTATGAAGTGTGCCACTCACTCGCCACATGTTACAACCGCGTCGGTATGCGTGAAAAGAAATGGGCTGGTTTGTATGATGCTTTTTCCAGTGCAAGCTCTTCGGCACCGCCTGTTCTCCGCACCCTCCGGCCGCCTGAGGCCCCGCCCGCCCGCGCCATGTCTCCCCAATTAGTGCTTCGCGCGCCCCGCCTAGCTCTTAACCGGAAGAGGCCCGCTCTCGACCCGCCGACCAAAAAGTTTGTACGATGCTGCAGCTGTGACGTGATACGGTCATTTTCTGAAATTGGGAGCGCGCGAGTCTCCGCATGTGACGAGCCTCCATGGCCTCGGGGACGATCCGTGTTACTTGCTGTGGCCTCTCCATTCTGGGGGAGGCAGCCACCACATGGTTTTGGTATTGTTTACCAGCCTGGAACATATCCCTATCCCTATGCTGGGCATCTCCTCATCACGATGCCAATCTTAGGGATTCCCTTATCTTTTGAAGGCGAATCCCTAAGAGTGTCATCGCCTTTTGGCGTGTCAATCTTAGGGATAGGGATAAGTTCGAGGCTGGTAAAATGTTCGATCGGGGTAAAGCGTGGCCACTCGTCAGAGTGAAGGGACCGCACGGCCTGGCCGAAGTGGGACTCCAAGGCGCGGACTCTGCTTGTTGTTGCCGTTGCGTTGCGTTGTTGTTGTCGTCGTCCCACCCGCGACCTCCCCGCGACCCACCCCGCGACCAACCCCGCGAACCACCCCGAGACCCACCCGCAACCCACCACGCAACCCGCCCGCGATCCACCCGCGACCCACTCACGACCAACCCGCGACCCACACGCGACCCCCCCGCGACCCCCCCGCGACCTACCCCGCGACCCACCCCGCGACCCAACCCGCAACCCACCCGCGACCCACCCCGCGACCCACCCCGCGACCCACCCGCGACCCACCCGCGACCAACCCCGCAACCCACCCGCGACCCACCCTGCGATCCACCTGCGACTCAAACTGCCACCCACGACCCAACCCGCGACCCACCCGCGATCCACCACGCGACCCGCCCGCGACCCTCCCGCGACCTACCCGCGACACACCCGCGACCTGGCCCGCGACCCACGCGCGACCCACCCGCGATCCACCCGCGACCCACCCACTTTGCTTTACCGAAAAAATCGGCGCCTGCGGCGGGCTCGTTGTGCAATTTCTGTAACAATAAAACGTCTGCAGCGGGTTTCTCCACTGCCTCGCGGACTTCCGATGTCCCCGCCCCCTCTCACTCGTATCCACAACTGCGGGGTGTTACGCACAATCTCAACTCTCAAGCGATGCAGCATAATGTATACCTGACATCGTACTGTGCGAGGGTCGAATAAGGCCTGGAACTCGTACTATGTCACACCTCACGTGTCACATGTTACGCACCCTAAGCCCTTGCGGTGACAATGCTGCATGTTACTGCTTTCGCAGGACTAAGAACCGATTGTCCTGTGACCACCACAATGAAGGAGAATACATGTCAAGGGTTTCTCTCACTCGGGGACAGAACATGTCACGTTAGTCTTGTATAGGTATTCCCGGAACTGTTCAACACAAGTAATGCTATCCAGGCGCGGCAAATCGGCACACACATGCTACCACTCCTTTCCGGGCGGGGGCGCAAGTGTGTCACACGTTATCACCCTATGAGCCCTGGGGAGAAGCCTTATTGCACGTTGCGCCCATCCAGACCGTAGATGAGGATTCTTTAACATACGACATATATCGGATTTCTCGACAACCCAGAACACTGGGTATCGCGTGCTATACCACATAATGCTACAGAGCTTACCCGAGGCGTGCCCAACATGTGCTCAACGCGAGGCGAGACATAATGTGAACGCTCCACACAGAAGAACCCATTGCGAGCTACGCAACACTCTGAAACACGTCGCCAAACAAAGTCGGACCACGCGCGTCGCGCACCTGCGGAACTCAGATCGCCACAGGGACGGCGACAACAAGCACGACAAGGAACATATAACATGGGACAGAAGTGGAGGAATAGGAGGAGGAGGAGGAGGAGGAGGAGGAACGGGTGACAATATATATATATATATATATATTCCGCTGGACCTGCCAAGAACCCACGAACATGGCGACGGCTGCACAACTGGCAGGCCCCTAGGGACCCGCGAGTTCTCGCCTGCATCTGCGAAACGCTTTACTCCGCTTGACCCACCAGGAGCCCCCGAAAGTGGGACTGTTGCGCAGCTGGCAGCCTCCCCCTGGGAGCCGCGAAGTCTCGCATGCATCTGCGAAACGAGCTATTCCGCTGACCCCCCAGGAGCCCACGAACATGGCGACTATTGCGCAGTTGGCAGCCTCTCAGGGAGCCGCGAGGTCTCGCCTGACTACCGCATCCGCTGGATATCACAGGAACCATCGAAAGCGGCGACGCTTGCGCAATTCGCAGCCCCCCAGGAAGCCGCGATGTCTCGCATGACTACCGCATCCGCTGCACCTTACAGGAGCCATCGAAGGCGGCGACGTTTGCGCAATTCGCAATATCTTAGGGAGCCGCGAGGTCTCGCCTGTTCACCGCCTTCGCTGGACCCACCAGGAGCCTACGAAAATGGCGACGGCTGCGCAGTTGGCAATCTCACAGGGGGCCGCGAGGTCTCGCCTGTCCACCGCCTTCACTGGACCCCCGAGCCGACGAAGTGGTGACAATTGCGCAGTTAGCAACCTAAAACAATGCCGCGAGGTCTCACCTGACTACCGCCTCCGCTGGATCTCACAGGACCTCACCGAAAATGGCGACAATTGCGCAATTGGTGGTCTCTCTGGGAGCCGCGAGGTCTCGCATGATTACCGCCTCCGCTGCACCGCACAGGAACCCACGAAAGTGGCGACATTTGCGCAATTCGCAGCCTCCCAGGGAGCCGTGCGGTGCCCCAAGGGTCTGCGTGACTACTGCCTCCCCTGGATCTCACAGGAGCCAACGAAAGCGGCGATTCTACTCAAAACATCGCAGCCCCCCAGTTGGAAAGGTACAAGGAAGGGAGGCCCAGGAGCCCACGAAAGTGGCGACAGTTGCGCAGTTCGCTACTAGAAGGGAAGCACGGAGGAAGAGAAGGACGACGCAGGAGGATGGAGGAGGAAGAGGAAGGTTGTAGCAAGCAACGCTCTATCTAAAACGAGAACCCAACACTGGAGGGGTGGTAATGCATATTTAGATTAATTGTTACAGCCCCTGGGCCCTGTGAGCGACAGCTGTGGTATGTTACGCACATCCTTCTCCGAACTGGGTAAGCGAAGACAACACATCACGGCTCCCGAAACCGTGCGAGGAAATCGGCGGCGTCTCGCGCACCTTGGCGGCCAGAGGGCCCACCACGGATAACCATCATCACCACCACAACATCACATAATCATCGTGGGAATCGTCGTCCGAAGGATATGTGAAAAAGGAGGACTTGAAAGGGAAGAATAGAAGAAGAAAACTGCATCAACATAGACTTTCGACGGTCCGCGCGGATTTCTTGTATCCGCGCTGGACCCCCCTCCCTGGCGCGCGGAGCGCGCCAGGGGCGGCGCCAGGGGGGCCCAGCGCGGATCCGAGAAATCCGAACGGGGCGCCAAAAGTTTGTGTTTACGGTGTATTTTCTTCTTCGAGGGACTGCGCTTCGATTCCCTCATCGTTCCCGACACGCTGACCCCTACGGTGGGGGCATTGGATAAGGAACCCGTAAATAAGGATCCCAGGGTCTGGAAGCCAGTAGAACCCCAGTGGTGGATTTCCCATGGAAAGTACCGCCGCCCTCCAGGGCCCATTCCTGAACCAACGCCCCAGGGTCTGAAGCCTCCTGGGCCCATTCCTGAACCAACGCCCCTACCGTTGTGGATGCCACGGCAATGAAAAAACCTAACAGCCCTATCATTGAACTTAAAGTGTGTTTAGATTGTAAGAAACATGGTCCAAACATGTTTTAAACATGTTTTTGACATGTTTAACACATGTTCAACACATGTTGTAGACATCTGGAAATTGTTTGGCAACATGCTTCCTCTCAATTGATCGTCCTCCACAACCCTGCCGTATCTCACCGGCCGGCGACATCTGCAGCTTCTTCGCCGAGCGCATGGCGACGAGCCGCAGAGGGCCGGCGAGCCGCGAGGTCCTCCGGCGCGGGAGCAGGTGGACCAGAGCCTCTGCTGCGGAGGAGGCCTGGGCATGTCAGCGTCAAGTCGGGCCTGTCCCCCTACAGGGGGATTTTGGAAGAAAAATGAAAAAGTAGTCAAAACATATTCCAAAATTATCAAAAAAACTTAAACATAGTCCCCGGACTATTTTGGGACTGTTTTTGAACATTCCTCCTGTAGGGGGACAGGCCCGACTTAATGTCGGCGTGAGAACACTTCGCACGCAGGCGAACGAGAACACTCACAGCGAGCACCTGCGCCCCCTGGCCCCCGCGAATCGAAATAGCTCGATCAGTTCGATGTGCAGGCGCGGTCACTCCGGTGTGCTCGCTCAGTTCGATCAAGTCGCTAGAGCTCGATCAATTCGGTGTGCTGGCCGTGATCTGTTTGCGACTCCGTGCTCTTTGTTCACGACGTCGGATGGTAGGTCCCTTCGTGTCTCTCGTGCGGAGCTGCTTTTCTGCGTGAGGCGTTAAACAACGAATACGGTGAGGACATTGTTAGATCTCTCCGCGTGTACCACCGAAACCAGGCACGTGCATGCAAGGGAACACATTCATGCGTCGTCTCGCGACCTCGCCGCCAGGGCGGCTCTCTCGGCCCTGTCGGCGACAGCCATGCGGCCCCGCTCGGTGAACGCCACCCTCATCATATAAGGAATCCTCCAGAGTCTGGAGCGCCCTTGGCACATTCCTCAACGAACGCCCCCACCTAATGCGCTTTCATGGGGAAGATTAGGTACTGCAGGCCAGGCAACGAGTCCAACCAGCTATTCTTCCTGATGCCAACTGGCACACCACAGTGCCTGACATGTGGAATCAGAAGCGAGGGACGAAACCACACCACTTCGCAATGCGTGGGATGTTGACGGATCTACGATGTCGAACATCGTTCTGAACTGGAACGAAGGAGACGCAGCGGAGAGGGTCCCACAGAAAATGTTGATGGCTTCGGAACCCAAGCAGAAGCAGAAAACATACACGGATCGCCTCTCGCTGTCCCTTCCTCGATTGGGGCCCCTGCCCCTGAGGCTTCTGGCTGAGGGGGAGCGGCGGGGGGGGGCCAAGCCCAATCTCGAGCCAAATTCAAAGCGATACTGACTATCTGACTGTTCGACCCTCCTTGACACGCAGACTGCCGCAATAGTTTGACAGTTCCTCATGTCTGATTAACGCATATCTCAACTGGCGCGCGCGTGTTTGACGGGCACGGGCTGCTTGTACAGAATGCGTTGACTGTTGCAACGCCTCGGTGACGGCAAATGTATGTCTCAGGAGCTTCCTGGAGAAGGGGCATGTACCGTGAAGGACCTCGGTGCGGGAGGACCTCCGTGGAACAAGCTCGGGAGCGCTAGCCTAAAGCTTAGAATGCCATGGTGAGGATCTACACGTCTAACCAAGCCCCAGGGAGAATAATCCCACAGGGATAAGAAAGTTCGGGGCCGCGGGGGGATGATAGATGTTGCCTACCGGAGGCCAGCATGTGGGAGGAGGAAGAGGTGATGTTCAGAGGACCGAGAGCCGAGGATCAAGGATCGAGAACCGAAGTCCGAGGATCGAGGATCGAGATCCCAGGAGTCGAGGATCGAGGGCAGCGAGGATCGAGGATCGAGGATCGAGGTCCCAGAGTCGAGGATCGAGGATCGAGATCCCAGAGTCGAGAATCGAAGTCCGAGGATCGAGTTGACTTCCCACCAGTGGCGACCACGGGCAGCCGCCGAGGGCCCCCCCAAAAAAGGGGCAGCGCAGCAGGCGAACACCTGGAGCGCGCGCCCCCGGGGGCACGGCAGCGGCGCCGCCAGGGGGAGGCCCCGGCGCCGACGCACGAAATCCGCCTGCACCGCCGAAGGGCTTCGTGCCCGTGCACCGATTCTCCTCCCTCTCCTCCTTCCCCTCCTCCTCCCGTCTCCTCCTCTCCTGCCCCTCCTCGTTCTCCTCCTCCTCCTCCTCCTCCTCCTCCTCCTTCGCCTCCTCCTTCTCCTCCTCCTCCCCCACTTCCCCTCCTCCTCCGCCTCCTCCTTCTTCTTCTTCTTCTTCTTCCTCCTCTCCCCTCCCCTTCCTCCTCGACGCCCCCACTTGCCATTGCTCGGGCGTCCAGTCCCCAGGCATTTCTCGGCTTCGTGCGTGTCTTGTTTCGCAGGGTCAGGTCAGCAGCCCTGCGCCAGACGGCGCGCGAGCGGGGTGAAAGAAGACGATTGCGCCTGCGCAGCAGACTCTGCAAAGCATGTCCGGCTGACATGTACCAAAGGAGTAGGATGAGGAGGAAAAGGAGGAGGACCCAAAAGGCTCCTCGATGAGGATCCAGGAGGAGGAGAAGGAGGAGGAGGAGGAAGAGGAGGAGGCTTTTTTTCGCAAGATGGCCCAAGAGGCTCCTCGAAGGCCCTCGCCGAGAGGACAACGCACACGCCCGAGAGACGCGTAGCTCAAAAGTCGGCCCCGGGGAAGAGGCCGAGACCTAATGTGCGGCCCACGCTCTCCTCCTCCTCCTCCTCCTCCTTCTTCTCCTTCTCCTCCTTCTCGTCCTTCTCCCCATCCTCCTCCTCCTCCTCCTCCTCCTCCTCTTCCTCCTCCTCCTCCTCCTCCTCCTCCTCCTCCTCCTCCTCCTCCTCATGGTGCCGCTGGCCCCTGACACTCTCGACCTTCCCTTCCCGGGACCGGCTTCCCCAGTCCTGGGACCGCCCTTCGATGGCCCCCTTTGTGACCCAGAGCGGCCTCCAGGCCCCAGCAGGAGCAATTTCAGGTCGAGGACGGTTGAAGGAACTCATCCTGGCGAAAGACCCAGCCATCTGCAGCTGTGAGCACCGCGTTGCTGGCGCCGCTTCCAGTGGAGGCCCCTGTGGGGCAGCGGGATGCGTGAGGGGTGTGCCGAAATGGTGGGGGGACGCATGCGGCCGCGGCAGCTGGGACTTCAGAGGAGCTCACTCTGGGACCACGCCACGAAACGTGTGAGGGGTGTGCCGACATGGGGCGAGAGAACGCATGAGGACCCTGCAACTGGGGCCTTCGGAGCAGCCCCCTGATGGGGCCACGGAGCGTGCGAGGGGTGTGCCTCAATGGTGCGGGGGGACGCATGCGAACCCTGCCACTGAAGCCTTCGGAGGAGCTCCCTAAGGGGCGCGAAACGTGTGAGGGGTGTGCCGACATGGAGCAGGGGGACGCGTGTGAACCCTGCCAGTGGGTCTTCGGAGCTCCCAATGGGGCCACGAAGCGTGTGAGGGATGTGCCGCAATGGGGCGGGGAGGCGCATTCGAACCCTGCCACTGGGGCCTCCGGAGGAGCTCCCTATGGGACCACGAAGCGTGTGAGGGTGTGCCGAAATGGTCCAGGGGGACACGTGCGAACCCTGCCATTGGGGCCCTTGGAGGAGCTGCCTGTGAGGCCACGAGCCGTGTGAGGGGTGTGCCAAAAATCACGCGGGGAGGCGCATGCGAACCCTGCCAATGGGGCATTCGGACGAGTCCCCTATTGAGCCTCGAAGCGTGAAAGGATTGTGCCGCAATGGGGCGAGGGGACGCATGCGAACCATGCCACTGGGGCCTTCGGAGGAGCTCCCTATGGGGCCACGAAGCGTGTGAGGGGTGTGCCGCAATGGGGCGGGGGGGTGCATGCGAACCCGGCAGTGCCGAAATATTGAGGGGGGACGCATGCGAACCCTGCCACTGGGGCCTCCGGATGGGGATCCCTATGGGGCCCACGAAACGTGTGAGCAGTGCTAAAGTGGTGCGTGGGGACGCATGCGAACCCTGCCACTGGGGCTTCCAGAGGAGCTCCCTGTGTGCCCACGAAACGTGTGAGGGTGTGCCTCAATGGTGCGGGGGGGGGGGCGCATGTGAACCCCTGTCACTCAGGCCTTCGGAGGAGCTTCCTCTAGGGCCCCGAAACGTGTCAGGGGTGTGCCGCAATGGTTCGGGGAACGCATGCGAACCCTGCCACTGGGGCCCTCGGTGGAGCTCCCTATGTGACCACGAAGCATGTGAGGGGTGCGCCGCATTGGTGCTGGGGGACGCATGCGAACCCTGCCACTGGGGCTTTCGGAGGAGCTGCCTATGTTGCCAAGAGACGTGTGAGGGTGTGCCGAAACAGAGACACGCGGAGAGCAGAGGCAAGGGACGGGAGGAGGAGTGAGAGAAGACGCGGAGCGCTGTCTCTTCGAAACGAGGACGCAACATCACAGGCTGTGAACAACCAGGAAACAACAGCAACAACAACAGCATCAGCAGCAGTAACAATGACAACGACAACCACAACAACACCACCAACAACAACAACCACAACAACGACAACAGCAGTCATGTTAAGACTGCTCAATCTTGTCTACTCGCGGGCCATTCGACACGTTTTCCCCAACCCTCGATACTCGCACTCTTCGCATTCGATCGTACCCCCCTTGGGCGTAGATAGCTGCCTTAAGTGCAACTTGTAGTTCGTGCAGCCCCTAAGGCAGGGGAAGAGAGGACGGATGGAAGGAAGGGACAAGGGGAAGGGAGGAGGATGGAGCACGAGAGAGAGCAGCTGGCTAGGAGCAGAAAACACGTAGCAGAACGAGACGGGCAGATCGGGCGGGTAGACCCTAACGTGCGGGTCGGGAAGGCGGGCCCAAGGGGCCAGGTCGAGCAGGCGGGATGCTGAAGCGTTCGTCCTGCATGAATCGCAAGGAAGTCTAGAGCGATAGCGCGATTCCCAAATGAATCACCAGGAAATCCAAAGCGAGAGCGTGAATCCCGAGTGTCGAGGGCGCGGCGTCTGAATGAATGGCGAGGAAGTCCCACGCGAGAGCGCGATTCCTGTGTACATTGCGAGGACGTCCCGCGCGAGAGCGCGATTTTGGAATACACGGTGAAGAGGTACCAGGCGGGAGCCGTTGTTGTTGGAGTTCGAGGGCCAAGAAAGCAGTTTGGTGACCCCTCGCTTTGTTGAAAACAAGGTGCGGACCCTGGGGGAAACGCTAAAATTGAAAAGTGCAGCGGTAACCGGAGAGGGGGGATCAACAATCATTTGCAGAAGTGACAGTTCAACAGCAACAGCAACAATCCTCACAACAGCAGCAGCAACAACAACACCAATCATGTTAAGACTGTTCGCTCATGCCTGCTAACGTGCGTATCCATACGTATATCCCAAGCCCTCGGTACCCGCCCTCATCGTCTTCGATCGTACCCCCTTAGGGGTATATCTTCCTTACCTGCCACGCGCATGTAGTGCCTCCCCTAAAACAAAGGAAGAGAGGACGGGTGGAAGGGGCAGGGAGAATAATGGAGCACGAGAAACAGCAGCAGGAGGGAGGCAAGGAGCAGAAAACAAGTGGTAAAACCAGACGGGCAGATCGGGTGGGCAGACCCATAGCGTACAGGTCGGAAGGCGGGCCCAGGCGACCAGACCAGGTCGAGCGGGCGGGCGGGCCGAGCGGGCGGATCGATCGTGAGTTCTGCGTCATTCGCCAGGAAGTTTCCAGCGAGAGAGCGGTTCCTAAGTAAATTTGAAGAAGCAGTCCCCAGCGAACGCGCGATTCCTAAGTTGCAAGAGCGCGGCGTCTGAGTAAATTGCGAAGAAGTCTCAGGCGGGAGCGCGATTCATGAGTAATTTGCGAGGAAGTCTCAAGCGGGAGCAGGGGGCTGGAATCAATTTCGTGGTATCGAGTGGGAGCCGTTGTTGTTGCAAACAGGGGGCCAGGGGCACAGTTTGAGGAGGAAGACTTTCCCTTATGAAAAACAGGTTGCGAGCGCTAGGAGGGGCACTTCAATTGACAAAAACATGTGCACCAGAGGGGTGATCAACCATAACTATTCTTCAGTAGTGCGAATGCAAACAACGACGACAACAAGCTCAGCAGCAGCAGCAGCAGCAACAACAACAACACCCGAATGAAAAGAGCAAACTTTCCCCCTCCACCTCCGACCTTAACATTGGCAAATATTGCGTTCGAGATGGTGGGCTCGCGATTGTTTCGGCAGCGCTTCTCCAGGACCGCTTGTTCAAATTAAAGCTGGGGGGGGAAAGTGGCCACGCGAAATTCGGAAGCAACTACTGGGAGGCTTTCGTCGGAAAAATTAAAGAGGATGAAGCCCCAAATGGGAGCTATTACGCCCGAGTGGGCCTCGGACGAAGCAGGGTTTAGCCGGATTAAGCGGAATTGATTAAGCGGGATTAAGCCAGATTAAGCGGGATTGCGCCGAATTGAGCCCGATTTCGGACCACGGCGAAATCAGAATTTGACCTCCCAGGAGCTGCATCCAAAGCGAGGTGGTTTCTCAACGTTTGTAGCATTTTTGTTTGATACAACGGGATTTCGTGGCTCGGCGCTCGGCCCCTCCCCGGTGGGCGTTCTGCGCCGATCCAAGACATCGGCGCGCGCCTCTGAAACATCGATGCTCGTTTGAAGTCGGGCCTGTCCCACTACAGGTGGATTTTGGAGGAACAATCGAAAATAGTCAAACAATACTCCAAAACGGTCCAAAAAATAGCAAAGTAGTCCCCAGACTATTTCTGGACTATTTTTGAATATTCCTCCTGTGGAGGGACAGGCCCGACTTAATGCTCGTGCCGATCGATTCCTCTCCTTCGAACATCTCAGCCAACAACTCCGGCGCGATGTGGCCGAATCGCCAGGAGGCCTGGGCCCTCGTCCTTTTCTGCCCCACCGCCTGATGAATCGAGGTGCCTGACGGCTGCGCCCGAGGCTTCAGTCTCCGACCTTGCTCCGCTCTCTACCGCGATGGCCTTGGGCTCAGACGCAGCAGTACGACCAGATAGATGGCTACCCAAATTTCGTGACCACAGGGAGGGGGCTCACAACCCTTCCAGACGAGCAGTCGTAGATCACCCCCCAGACCGGCCACGAAAGTTCGTCCCTTCGCCCTGACCCAACTGGAACCCTCCAAGGCAGCTCCAATCAGAACCTCCCAAGAAATCAGAGCACCACCCTTTCATTGTGAAATCTGGAATACCTTTAGGTCGGGCCTGTCCCCCTACAGGGGGATGTCGAGCGAAATATGAAAAACAGTCAAACAAATACTCCCAAATGGTATTCCAGAAATACTCCAGAAATAGTCCCAATAATATTTGTTTCTTAAACTATTTTCGAATACTCCTCCTGTGGAGGGACAGGCCCGACTCAATGCCAGGGTCCGCTCCCCTCCCCCCGGCGGTCCTCGTCGTCGCCAGCGGGCGGGGCGCGGGCGCTCGGGGTGCCGTCGCCGGAGGTCCGCGTCGCGTCGCTCGCGTCGCTGACCTCGGGGGGGGGCCTGGGGGGGCCCACCCCCCCAGGCGGGGCCCGGGTCGAGGTCCCGCCGGATCGGGGTCGAGGCATTCCCCGTGAAAAATAAAGGTTAGGAGGCAACTACTGGGAGATTTTCGTCGGAAAGATTCAAGAAGATGAAGCCCCATTTGGGAGCTGTTACGCCGGAGTGGGCCTCGGACGAAGCAGGGTTAAGCCGCCGGATTAAGCGGGATTAAGCGGGATTAAGCCGGATTAAACGGGATGATGCTGGATTAACCCGGATTTAGCCGGATTTCGGACCACGGCAAATCAGAATTTGACCTCCCAGGAGTTGCATCCGAAATGGTGAGAGGCATCAGCAGAGCTAGCAGCAGCAGATCAGGGCAGTGCAAGATTGTCCGATGCGTTGCCACCTGTCCAGAAGATGGGGCCAGGGGAACCCTGCGCGTGGGAGGAGCCCGACGAGAAGGTCGAGCATGGGAGCCGGGACAAGTCGACACGTCTCGAAGAGCACGTGCTGGAGGACCAGACTTCGAGCAGATTTCGCTCGAGCAACCCTCGATCCCGATCTTGCAGGGCCTCAGGTCATATGCGGTTGGCATGTCGGAAAAGGGTGCTGAGATAAACGAGTCCTGGACCATCTGGCCTTTCCCACAACCAGTATTCATCCTGCACAATTGTTTGACAATCCTGGGGCCGCCACGAAGGTCCACGGAAACCCCAGACCCAAAATCTCCAGAACCCGTTGCCCCCAAGATCCTACTCCTTCATGGTGCATGTGACTCTCGGAACCTGCCGTCTGAACGCCGGCAAGGCGTCGCCGAACAGGGAGCTCCTCCCAGTGGGCGGGGGACGGAGCGAGCTGGCGCGGGCGAAGGATGACGGGACACGTCTCGGCGGAAGAGGGTGAAGCGACTCCCCAGCGATGGGGAAGGATGACAAGCGAAGTGAGGAAAATATGAGGAAGGGGAGCAATTGGGGGAACAACGATAAGGAGGATAAGGAGGAGAAAGAGGCAACGCAGAAAGAAGATCGAGGACGAGGGGGAGGATCGAGGGGGAGGACGAGGAGGAGGTTTCTCACGACTTGCAAATCAGCGGCGGAGGGGTACTCGGGCACGACGGAGGATGGACAGGCGAGAGGGGTGGAGCGGGAGAGGAAAGAGGGGGAGGAGCAGGGGGGACACCTGAGACCATGCTTCGGGATACGACTTGTGTTTTGGGAGACGGTGCCGACGAGTGGCCTCGCGACGGACTGGCAACCCGTCTACTGTTCTCACTATCACGAATATGTTTCCTGCTCTAAGACGTTCACTCCTCCTCCTCCTCCTCCTCCTCCTCCTCCTCCTCCTCCTCCTCCTCCTCCCTCTCCTCGTCACACACACTTCCTCCGCCTACCCTGTCACGTTGTCCTTTAGCTCCTTCTTGTGATCACACATCCCGTCGCCATCGACGGCCAAAACCTTGAGGGTCGGCGGCACTGGCCGTAAGGCCTTCACAATATGTTTCCTGCTCTGAGACGTTCAAGCGGTCATAGCTGTTCTACCAGTTCCATGCGCTGTAACTTCCCCAGGCCTTCCAACTCGTGCAGCAATCTAGCTACCATGATCCTTCTGGCGCGTATAGCTCTTCGAAACCATTCACTTATGGTACGTAAATCTCTTCTGCTCATATTGACTCCCTTGGTTCAAACAGACTGTAAGTTTCGACCGAGCTGTGCAACTTGACTCCCAAACAATGCTTCAACTTTGGGGTCCTTACTCGTGGAATACGGAACTGTCCCTGACGGTCAATATGGTGGCTATGTTGCCGCCGTCGCCACCTCGCCGCCGCCTCGTCGTCGCCTCGTCCCAAATAGGTTGCACCACATAGATTGCACAACATGTATTGCTAGAAACACACCGTGTGGGGCCCACGCTGGCTAACATCGTATTGAAATAGTATAACTGCTCGACGTCTGCAAAGTCTCTGAGTATTATAACTGTAGCATTGCCTGCTACCCCTCCTGACTCGCCAGGGCCTTCCAAATAATCGAAGTCGAATTCCTCGATGTCCCAAACCACATGTAACTATTCGAATGGATCTTGCCCTTACACCTCGCGAAAGGATTCCACACAAAACAACTGTCAATCTGTGTGCATATACATATATGTTTGCATACACACACTCATGTGTAATATTATTGTTTTACCCTGAGCCGTCCGAACTTTCAATTCTATTCAGGGCCCACTACCGATCGTCAACGTATCGCGCTCACTGCCAATCCCACTGTACTGCCGTATCGAATGCTGGAGGTGAGAACGTAGTGATCGCCACCAGGCATTCGGTGCAGCTTTCGCCACGTGTCACGCGTGCGAGCCCGCGGACCAAAGGAGTGATACGTGTGACTCCTGATTCACAGCAGCGCGAAGCCGCGCTCCAATGGCAGCCACATCGAGCGAGGCGCACCAATTTCGCAGTCGCCACCGACGTGGAGGTGTTATGCAGATCGGATCCTGGGACGAGTGCTATTCTCACGTCCTGGGCCGCTTCTCACTGCAGCTCGACACTGCGTAAGCATCACAAGACACACTGCCATCAGAAACAAAGCAGTCGTATGCAGCTCGTAGTATCGAAAACCATCCCCTCAATCTACTACAGTCGGACTCGATTGGACAGGACACGCGCGAGGACACAAGACCCTTCCGAGGGCCAAAATGCCACAGGAATGTTGAAGGCATGTGTCTCGAGACACAGGACACAAGGGTACCCTTGATTTGGCAGGGTCGACCTACTAATCTGGGCCGACTGTATGATACTCTTTAGACAAGGGGGAGGACTTCTGAGACAACACTGGCATTCCAACCACAATCTTGAGCCAACTGAGATCTACAAACTTTCGTCGCAATCCCCATGGGCCAGCGGGCGAAGGACGTCCTCGGGCCCTCTCGCTCCGCGCAGAGAGGAGCCCGCTGCGGGCTTGGTGGCCGCGCTGGGTCTACGCCTGCGCAAGCGCGGCGCGCTGGCAACGGCTGCCATGCGAGCAAAGTCCTCGGATCGGAGGCTGGGCCAGAAGCATCGCCCGCGCGCCCGCCAGAGGAGGAGGAAAGGGATGATGAGGAGGAGGAGGCCAGGAGTATCGCCCGCGCCATGGACCCGGGGACACCTCCGGGCCCGGCGTGCCCCGAGGGAGGGGCCTCTCAGGAGCGGCCGTGCCGACCCGCCTCCCCCAGCACGTTGTCTCGCTGCGGCGGCCAGGCGCGGAGCATCTCTGCGGGAGGCGTCCACCACGGTTGGCCGCGAACAAGGTGTATATATATACATATATATATATACACACATATATATATGTGTGTGTAAAGATGTGTGTACATATATAGAAATATGTACATATGTTGGGATGATGCTGAGACGACCGTAGGCAGCGAGATCCATAGTACCACGAAGGCCTGCGAAAACAGGCAGCCGCCCGAGCAGGGAAAGATAGAGTTCGACGCGCCAAATGCGTGAGGAGAGCTGTGGATAGCCAGACAGACATACATACATATATATATATATACAAAGAAATAAAGAGATCTATAGAGATAGGAACAACAACAGAGGAGAGAAGCAGAGGAGAGAAGCGAGAAGAGAGAGAGAGAGAGAGAGACAGACAGAGACAGACAGACAGACAGACAGACAGACAGACAGACAGACAGACAGACAGACAGACAGACAGACAGACAGACAGACAGACAGACAGACAGACAGACAAACAGCCAGACAGAGAGACAGGCAGACAGACAGACTGACAGACAGATAGACCGACCGACCGCGCAATTCACGCCGCGACGCCACAAGCGGGTCGGCGCCTCGCTGCGCGCTTGGGTGGCGTGCGGGTGCGCGCGGGCGTCCCCGCGGCTGCTTCGCAGCGGCGTCGCAGCTGCGAGCTGTCGCTCCGCAGCCGCCGCGCGGGGGGGAACAGCTGCACGAGAAGCCGTCGGCTGCAGCCGCGCTGCTCGCGCCGGGAGCGGCGCGCGGCGCCGAGCAGCCTCCCTGCTCTCCTGGCCAGCGCTCCCGCGCGCGCGCAGGGGACGACTCGCGCGTCGCAGGGTCGGCTGAATCTTGGAACACAATACATGGCGCTGGGGTCGGCGCGCGGGGCCCCATCCCATGCCTCGCGCTGAGGTCGGCGCATGGAAAAGACGTCGGCTGCAGTTGACGCGCACGCTCCACACGGGGTGTGGGGGGGGCTGCGTGAGCAGACGCCAGCGGAGAGCGCCGCGCGCGAACGGCGCGCAGAAATGCCCTCGGGCCGCGCCAGAAGCGCGCCACGTGCGAGCGGCGGGC